GGGAAAATTCTACTACCAGTCCTTCATCACCTTACACGAAATAGGGTGAATACATCTCATTACAATAAACATTCTGTCTGATCTTGATTTAAGCCGGCCCACTCATAGCAGAACCGACACTTAAGAATGTGTTCGATACCTGCAGACGATGAGCGCATCCGGATACAGTTGAGTAGTTGCTAGAATCAGCATGTACTCTCCATTGTTCTTATCTGGTTTATCTAGACAAAGTGTGCAGCAGTATTAGCTGACTCAATTAGTAGAAATGTAATAGTTCTTATGGCAATAATTATCGATGATTCTTAACGTATCTATAGTCGAAAAGTATAATTAGCAAAAGCGGTTCATAAATTTTCCATAAAAGGGCAAAATGGGACATTTCGCCCTCATTTTGGAGGATATACAGAAATAGACTGAAAATAAGAGACAAGGTTACGTGAATCGACCAAGTGAAGCTGTTTAACTCGGTGAGCAGATTAAACAGACAGAAGCCGAGGGGCTCATCGCCAAGTTTCAAACAGTGGGTTGGAGTGCCACAGGTGGTGTTCATATTCTGCTTGATATTGCCCCACGACGGCAACGAGTCCCAGCTAGCAAGCCGGTGGCTGTGCTGCCCCGACCAAGGATGAGGAGGATGCTGTCGCATGTGGTATAACTGTTGGCGCTGAAAGTGCGGCACAACCTCGTCCAGACAGAGGCCCGCAAACGAGAGTAGGTCCTGTTTAAGCAGCAAACAGTATAGCTCAGAAAGCCAGATATCAGGCAGGTAAAGCAGAAGGCCGCAACCCAAGACGGACTCAATAAAGGCTGACTGCGCGAGGGAATCGAACGAACAAAGGAAAAAGTTGGTGCAGGCTTAGCAGATGGTGAGGGAATAAATGCTGAATTTCTAGTCTTTTGCAAAGTCGAGCTATAAGGCAGAACTGGCAGAGGAAAGAGAGTGGAACACGTGAACAGAACAGGACATTCAATCAAATTTGCGCTTAAAACACCCCAGTGTCTCGTAGGCATGGAGATAAATTGGGTTTAAAGGAGGCCCTCAGTAGACTCTTGTTGTTACCCATTTCACTTCATGCGAAGAGGCGTGTAACAGGGAGTCGTAGACAGGCCTCCACAGAAACCGAAGGAGAAGTCCTGGAGGATGTCCATCACACGACAGACGGAAGTCCAGCACGGATGCATCGGAGCTGCAGGATAGAGCGCCGAGGGCTTCTTCACACAAATAAACCGTCACAACCACAAAGCAACCCTCTTTCAGTTACCAGTAAGGGTCTTTTAAGAACTCCTTTCACCTGCCGAATCAAACAAAGAGGATGAAACAGACAAACCGGAATATCAATGAAATTTGTAACACTTCGCAATGTCTATTCAAATGCCTGAAAATTTTCATAAATGAAGCAGAATCCAGCCTGCGTTAAAACCCACTTAGGACCATATCAAAACTTTGCATGCAGAAAAGGCTAGTAGCCAATTACAAACTATTTATGTAAAGTAAATCTATGCCTATAGGAATTATTTAATAATCTCATATGATGGGCTTTTTTAGTTCGATGAGACATTTAAGTGGAAAGGGTCCAGAGGGTTGATTTGTTCGAATAAGACATGAGCGAACCATCTCACGACCGATGAGTTGAGAAGATTCGCTAAGCTAAGCAAGTTGGCAGGCTTCAATCCTGTCAAATTTTGATATCTTAACGGGGCGTGCTATTATGTGCGTACAGATGAGTAAATTTGATACATGAAAGAAAAGTAGATATGGTCCTAGCATAAATAAAATCAAGTTAGGGCCTGTAATATTAAAATCGGGTTTAGGAGTGTGATGGCATGTGCGTTATGTGTATACAATGCTTATGAGTTCGGTTTTAGACCACTCAATCTGGGCTCCCGTATTGGCCAAATGCCCAATTATTTCTGGTTCCCGTACACATAGACCTTTGAACACGATTTTATCGTCAGACAAGCTCTAAGGTGTAAGGCGAACAAAATAAGTAAACTATTGAAAAATCGGGAGCTTAGGAATAACACTTTCCTAAATCATGCCTTTTTAGGGAAGTTTAGGTTTTTATGAGGTTTTGTGCTCATGCGTTAGCATCTATAAGGAGGAGACCAGCAGACCCATAAAGAAGAGTGTATGCAAAAGCAAAACCACTCGCGAGGGCTTATACGTCCGGAAATCCAAATTAGCCCAGCATGGTGCCAATACACGAAACCAGATGGAGTGGTTCAAAACCCAACGTTTTGCCGGGTACGAAAGCCTCGTTGTTAGGCGGAATATTAGGAAAACAATAGAAATCAGCCAACATCCAGAATAACTTGACTACAAGGATTCAGGAGAGAGAGATCAATATGAACCACCGATTAAAGCAAGTTTAGTAAATCGTAGATTTGAAGATCGGGAGGGTGTAGCCTTAGGTTTTGCCACAGTCTCTTGTCGCTGTATTGAAATGGTTTGACTTCATTTGAGCTATTTAGTCTTGCTTCCAAGAGGGCCTCTATCGTATAAGTCATGGTAGTTGTCAGCACCGGAACCTTGACTTAGTACATTGCAGACTGAAGGTCCGTTGCTAGATCTTATCATGACTACTATTGACGAGGACACAAGATTGGCTGCGAAAACGAGGGCAAGCCCACTCTAGGTTATTCGTGAAAGGAAGCCTCAAAGTTGGGTATCATGCAGGCCCCCTAATTATACTAAGCCTCAGCAAGAGGTATTTACCATTCCAGCTTGCCACCGTTTTTGATTCGGTGTATCCGTGAACTTTATAACTTTATGGTTTGTAGCTTTAATGATGCTCGTTACATTGAGAAGAAAATTCTACAGATTCATCACCATTTTAAAGAGGAAACAAAAGATTTTCAATGATGCTAAATTAACTATTTAAGCCAGTCTCTTGTAGTGGGTTCTAATTAGTTTTCTAGCAGGTTTCTTAAAGAATTTTGCAAAGTATTAACGAAAATGCAAGATATAAAGACGGTTCCCAAAGAAAAGATATCAATTATATTTAGATTTCAAACCTTATGGAATACAAGAACTAGCCAAGATAGCCAAGTCCACTTGGGAGCAAAGCTTGTTTTTGGACAAATAACCACAACGGTTCCAACGCCACCCTCCAACGTACTGCATTCGCAATACGCTGTTGTAGCAACCGTATCGGCCGAACTGAGCCCGATTCCTCTATTCCTATGGATAAGTCGGTTCAGAACTGATTACTCACCAACTAATCTGGTATAGCAAAAAGTGTTTGGCAAAATCAGACAAGGGAACCGCTCCTGCGATGAGTTAACATATGCCAGCCACACAAGCGGCTAAGCCAGAGTTCGCTATTGAGTAGAATAGCTACAAGAAGCAAAGGCAAATTTATGTGACCTTTCTATTCAGTAGAGATTACCAGGTTATACGGAACATGTTAGTGTGGTGTGATGGCAACATGCCAAAAGGATACATCGAGTCATAAGCATTCTAGTTCAATTATTAAAGAGACATAGAGTAGAAAGGAGTCGAAATACCTCAGTTATCCGTATTTGGCAACTATGAGCAGATGAAGCGTAGCCGCCATTCCTCAGAAGAAATAGATTTAAAGAAAGGGCAGCGTATGTGGAAATGTAAATGGCGTCTGCATTAAAAATGGCGCCCGCGTTGGTCATGTCGTTGGATGTCATTTGGAATTGCTCGGATCGAATGCATTCCGACCAAGTGCTAGATCTCTCTGTAATTAATTGTGAGTAAAAATAGAAACAATTTAAATAGCAATAGAAAGAGTAATAAGGGAAATAAGGCCCAGTAGATAGAGCTTGGTAAGGAAAACTTTTGCAGATTATTTTGGTTGAGGGTCAGCTTTGGTTGTGCAGGTAAGATGTTGGCATAAGGCCCTGAAGAATTAAAAAAACAAACCCCTATAGTACTCTTGATCCGGCGAAATAACAGCCTCTCACGACCTCTGAGATGAACATGAACAGATTCCAACGACAGCGTATACTTAAGAAAAAGTCAAGCGATCATAAAGGGACATGTAAACGCAAGGTAAAAGATCCTTGGCATGCCAGCACATCAAGCACAAGCCAATTGTAGGATCGCAACAAATGAAACAAGTGATGAGAATCTGACTTTCGAAAATATAATCAAGGGTTGTTTACATTTATACCAAGGATTTGGGACGACTTTATCCTTATGACAGTTTCGTAGAATAGCGGGAATGCCTTTTTCTCCAGCTTCCTGATTGGATGGTCGTTCCCGCACTCACAGATCCCGAACAACACATTTTATGCTTGACCCGGTTTAGAATCCAGTTGGGCTGCTGATGAGGCAATGTTGCGAGGTCGAACCTGCATCGTGTATGGAGAAACACCTTTTGAGGGTTAAGGATAAGTGGCGTACGTACACATGCTAAAACCAAACTAGTTTGTCTCCTCTTTATATCTATGACTTATTTTGGCTATTCTGGAACAAGAAAGCGTTAGGTTAAGTCACCTAAATGGTCTAAAAACGGATGTCTGAATGTTAGTTTTCAAGTAAATCTTGAATAAGAATTGTGTTCACCTTATTTTGTTTAAGGTGAGGAAGGACTGGTTGTTAAATTTTCCCACAATGAGATAAGTAGGCCTCATATTTCGATAGAATTTCACATAGACTTGCCTCCAAAAAGGTATTCCTCTCCAGGATGGACTATAATTTCGACCTCGCCTAGGCTTCATCAACACCTCCAGCGGGAATTGAACCGGATA